ATATATATATATATATATGTATTTTCAATACATATATTTTCAATACATTTCAATACATATATTTTCAATATATATATATATGTATTTTCAAATAATTTCAAAACCAGTTTGGGAATATACTGGTGGTATTTCACTGTGGTTTTAACATCTAATGATGTTAAAAGCATCTTTTCTTGTACTTATTTGCCATCCACATATCTTCTTAACTGTCCATTCAAATCTAATGCTCTTTTTAAAAATTAGTTTGTCTCCTTATTGGGAGGTAACATCTCTATGTATTCTGGATTCAAATCCTTAAACATATATGTATATTTTGCAAATATTTTCTCCAAGTCTATAGCTTATCTTCTCATTTTGCAAATAGTATTTTTAGAAGCATAAACATTAAAAAAAATTTTTTTTAATGTTTATTTTTGAGACAGAGAGAGACAGAACATGAGCTGGGGAGGGGCAGAGAGAGGGAGACACAGAATCCAAAGCAGGCTCCAGGCTCTGAGCTATCAGCACACAGCCCGACGCAGGGCTTGAACTCGTCAACCGTGAGATCATGACCTGAGCCGAAGTCGGATGCTCAACCAACTGAGGCACCCAGGCACCCCAAGAAGCACAAAAATTTTTAATTTTGAGGAGGTCCATTTTATCAATTTTGCTGTAGATTGAGCTTTCGGGCTTTTTAGCTATGAAATATTGACCTAATCCAAGATCACAAAGATTCACTTCCATGTTTTCTTCTAGGAGTTTCACAGTTTTATCTCTTGTATAGTGTGAAGTAAGGGCCTAAGTGTCATTTTAAACACATGGTTATCCAACTGTTCCAGCACCAACTGCTGAAGACTATCCTTTTTTCCAATGCATGACCTTGGCATCTTTGTTGCAAATTGACCATATAAGGGTTTATTTATGAGTTTATTTATTGACTTGATTCTATTCCATTGGTCTTTTTGTCTATGGCTACAGATTTATAGTAAGTTTTGAAGTGAAATATTTTTAAGTTTTTATTGTTTTTTCTTTCAAAATTGTTTTAGCTCCTTAAGCTTCTTTGCATTTCTGTATAAATTTTAGAATAAGCCCCTCAATTTCTACAAAGAGACCTACGGACTGTGATAGGGATTGCATTCAGTCTACAAATGATCAATCTATCTTCCAATCCATAAAGATAGTATATCTCTTCATTTATCTGGGTCATCTTTAATTCACTCTGTAATGTAATATTCATTTTGAAACATGAAGATAAACTTAACCTTAAAATCTGGCATCAAATTATAATAGCAAATCTTACAAAAAGTTATTCAAGAATCTTTCTGACACAATTTCAAGTTTCCCAAAACACGTTCAACAATGAGACAGAAACAATGAACAAATAGAAAAGATCCGTTATCTTATGAAGTCTATGGGTTATAAACCACTCATAAAACTAAGTAGGAAAAAGTTCATGCTTACCTCAAAGATAGAACCTGCCTTGACTATTTTGCCCCACAAAAATCATTTGGTAGCAGAAACTAAATACTCAATTGAGTTTTCTCCCTAACTCCCATCAAACCCAAGAAAACTTCATGAACTGGAGCTACACACACACACACACACACACACACACACACACACAAATTCTCTCTCTACATGTATATATGAAAAACTTAATATTGCAAACACAAATACACAATCTTCCATCTTTCTGTCTCCATCTTTATAGCATTTTTGTCTCTAATTATGAATGCATAAGCTTTCATGGAAACATATTTGTCAAATAAAATGGGGTTTAGACTCTATCAGGTTTAAATTATGAGAAGTTTTTTAAAAAAAACTTGAAAAGTATGATTAACAAAAGATTTTCCATGAGAGAGTCTTACTCAAAAACATTTTGCAATTCCTACCACAAGCCATGTACAATTAATTACACTATTTCATAACAGCAAAAAATAGAAACTACCCAATGTCCACTGACAAAAGAGAGCATAAACTGTGGTATTTAGTTACTGAATATCACATATCATTGAATCTTGTACTATAGTAAAAATGTTTATTTTTTTTAAGTTTATTTATTTTGAGAGAGAGAAAGAGAGAGAGAGAGAACACATACACACACGCAAGGGAGAAAGAGGATCCCAAGCAGGCTTTGTGCTGTCACTGCAGAGCCTGATGTGGGGCTTGAACCCACAAACCATGAGATCATGACCTGAGCAGAAATCAAAAGTCAGATGCTTAACCGACTGAGTCACCTAGGCGCCACATAAAATTGTTTATTTTCTGACTTTATAGTATAAGTAACAATATGATGAACACTATAAATGTAATGCTGGGGGGCGGGGGGCGGGGAAGTCCCAGAAGACAACAGGTATATGACTCTAAGCAAAACCAAACATTGTTTGCACACATACATTTACAATAAAAACTACTTTTAAAGAGGCAAAGCACTGATATACAGCAAATTCAGAACAGTGGTTACAGGGGACATGGAGTAGAGGGAACACAAGGAGGCAGGAAAAGGGAAGCACTGCAAATGCGAATTATTAGTAACGTTCTAGATCTTGGGTTGAACAAAGGGTGTATATATCTCATAACTCACATATGTCATCTCGTTCTTTTATATGTCTAGTTATTAGTTTTTAAAAATACAAGCAAAACCTATTAAAAAAATTTTTTTAATGTTTATTTTTGAGAGACAGAGAGACAGAGCACAGGTGGGGGACGGAACATATAGAGGGGGAGACACAGAAACCGAAGCAGGCTCCAGGCTCTGAGCTGTGATCACAGAGCCCGGCACGGGGCTCAAACCCACGACTCGTGAGATCATGACGTGAGCCGAAGTCGGATGCTCTACTGACAGAGACAGCTATGGGGCCCAAAACTATTTTTTGAAATCACCCATTATAAAACATTTTCCAGAAGATCAGTTGAGCATTTAAGAAGACACATTAAAAAAAATTAAGTTTTTACCTTTGTTTCTGTTCAATTGCTTTGTCCAAGTGTTGGAAGATATCCTGAAACAGGGTGCAGCTGGACCGACTATTAATAGTGTACCCGTATCCTCTTTTCCAATATTGCTTCAGATCATTTAAATATTCTAATACCTAAAAATGAAAATTTCAAAAATCATGATTACATTTTTTTAATGTTAACAGATTCCCTGATTTAACAGTGATTCTCAGAAAAGATTACGTTGTTTAACTGCCATTCTACACAAAGTATGTGGAGTTTATATTTGCCATTTTAAGTCCATGACACATACAGATTTACGATGACACAAAAACTCAAACCGTGGGAGTGTAGAGGAGGGCATGCAAGAGCAAGTGAGGAGCACTGATGCCATAGCCCAGCACCCAGGACACCACAGGACAGAGGGTTAAAGACATGCTCACTTCCCCTTTCTGCGAAAATTAAAGTGATAGCAAATATATATACAGAAAAAAGAAAAAAGGATACACATAGAAGGTTATTTATTATAGCACAGAAAGATGCCAACAGCAGATTAGGAACTTTTAAGAACTTTATGAAGATAGAAACCAGACAGAAGACAAGTTACTTTGGTTCATGTATCAGTACGGCAAAATTAGTAATGAAATTTGACCAAGAATATAGAAAAGGAATGTACACTGGCATAGTTGTTCTAAAGGGCAAGTTGGCAAACTCCATAAAAGCATACATCTCTATGACCCATTTAATTCCATTTCTTAGGAAGTTTTAGTCACAGACGAACACAAGAGAGAATGTGTAAGAATGTCTTAACACCAGCACTGCTTATCGAATGGAAAAAAGATTCCTGGAAATACTGACATTTCATTAGTAGGCAGATGGTTGACTAAACTAGGGTATACACATACTATGGAACACTATGCAGTTATGTAAAACTTATGTATTGTAGATCTTCGTGCACTGATGTGGAAGGATCTCCAGGATGTACTGAATGAGAAGGGCAGGTTGAGAATAATAAATACAGTATAATACCTTGTATTACCAAGACATACATACCTACATGTATACATTATGCTGTTTAGAGTTCTAAGAATGACATAGATTATCAACAGCAGCACAGAAAAGGGTTAAAAGGTCCATATTAAACTGACAGCAATGACTGATCGCTATGGAGAGAGGTCCTGGATTAGAATTGGTGATTAAGGCAGGCTTTCTCTGAATGTTAGACTCTGCACTCACGTATCATTTGATCAGATAAACGCCAAAACTAGAGAACTAAAATGTGCAATTAAAAGAGACACAAGAGAAGCCTCTGTAGTAATTATAAGTTATTCTTCTCTGAAAAAGCCCCCAGAGAAAACTAGTAGTAGTTTTATTGTAACTTTAAGAGCAAGAGCCAGGGTAAATCATTGCCATAATCCAAAAACAAAACTAAAGAGATATTAAAAAGGCAATTAAATCAAGAAGTTAGCAAAAGCGACAAAGTAAACATTTTTTTAAAAGGAAGGAATTAACATTAAAAGAATTAAAGTTCTGTCAAATCCATTCAAGAAAATAAAACAAAAACTGTCAGAAATAAAAAAGGAGATATGACTAAAGATTTTTTAAAAAATCATACATGCACACTATTGAAACTTTATCTCAAAAAGATTTGAAAATGTAAATGAAATAAGTGGTTTTTCTAGGAAAATACAAATTACCCAAACTGACTCAGAAAAATCTGATCATACAAAATAGAGACAAAGGTCTACCTAAAACATACCAGGTATATTTGTTTTTTTTTCTTTTCTTTTCTTTTTTAAATAATTTTTGTTAAGTTTACTTATTTATCTTGAAAGAGAGAGAGAGAATCCCAAGCAGGCTCTGCACGGTCAGCGCAGAGCAGGATACAGGGCCTGAACTCACGAACTACGAGATCCTGACCTGAGGTGAAATCCAAAGTCGGATGCTTAACCAACCGACTGGGCCACCCTGGTGCCCCCAGGTATATATGGTTTTAAATAGGAGCTCTACGAAACCTTCAAGAAGGGTTAGTTCCTAATATTTAAATTATTCCAAGGTACAGGGAAAGATGGAAAGCTTCTGAACTCATTTTAGGAAGCTACTAGAAGCCTGTACCCAAACCTGAACAAATAAAGCCCTAAGGAAAGGGGCGAGGAAAGAAAATCCGGACCCTGCACTGCAATTCCTGTGCCCTCCACTGTATCTCCTAGTCACTGCTACGGACACAAATTCCCCCTCACGTTCTAAACCCATCAAAGGAAAAGAATGGGCCCAGGCCAGTAGTACCACCCACAAAGGAGAGCCACTGCCATAAACCAGCCTCACTACAAACAGGCTTTAATGAATCTGAAATAAAACATCACCAAATAAAATTCAACAGCATACGGAAAGAAATGCCATATGCCAGGATGGACTACCTGATACCAAGCATGTCTCCGGACCAAAAAAACAAAATATGTAAAATAAATATTTTCAGTCATTGAGTAATCAGCACTGAACTGTGATCGCTGAGAGAAGAGAAACCAACCCAGCAAACCCTACAATTGTCTCAGGTTTGTGCCCGGAGGCACAGGGAAAGGAATGTCAGGCAGAATCCTGCTGAGCAGAGGAGGGAGAACAGACTCTTAAGGGGCTGGAAGTAGCAGGGTGGAGTATCAGAAAGGAGGAAGCTGCCCAGAAGAGAGCTCCAGAAATCTGGGGGTCCCCTTGAGTCTGTCACTGAATGTTGTGGGCGTTACAAGCTGAATTCCAGAGCTATCACAAAAATGGGAGATCATCAGGTTCCAAGCAGCCTAAGTAAGAGACTTTCAGGGCACACTCAGACATCCACAGCTTCAACGCAGACCCCAGAAACGTCACACTTTAACAGCAGAAGCATGTTTACAAGATTTGGTTTTGAGTTTTGTTAAGTTCAGATCTAGGGCATGAAACTCAGAAATAAACGTCAAAAGGATCAAGCTGATCCACAAGTAACTAAACTGTAAACTAAAACAAAATTCAGAACTCTTTAAAGTTATATGACAAGGGGCTCCTGGGTGGCTCAGTCTGTTGAGCATTCGACTTCACCTCGGGTCATGATCTCCCGGTCCGGTCCGTGGGTCATGGCCCTGCTTGGGGCTCTGTGCTGATAGCTCAGAGCCTGGAGCCTGCTTCGGTTTCTGTGTCTCTGCCTCTCTCTGCCCCTCCCCTGTTCATGCTCTGTGTCCCCAAAATAAATAAATGTTTAAAAAAACCCTGCTACAGATGAAATAGCCAGATGAAAACTGTGAGTAAATAAAGTATCATGAATTCCAAAGGCTTAAGAAAATAAAAAAGTCAAAAGCAAAAAAAAAAAAAAAAAAAAAAAAAAAAAAAAAAAAAAAAAAAAAAAGATATGAAAAGAAGCATAATCACAGAAACAAGCTAGAACAACATCAAAAATAGTTTGGCATCACTATCTAGTAAATTTCAAGTTCTCTACACCCTGTAATCCAGCAATTCTACCACACACACAGACAGAACTTCACAAACGTGTGTTGTGTATGCCCCAATTCACATACAGAAGAATGTTCGTAATAGCCCCAAACTGAGAACAACCCAAATGTCTACCAACAAAATAATGGATAAAAAAAACCTGTGGTAATTCATATAGTGGAATACAATACAACAATGAAAATAAGTGAACTATAGCTACATGCAGCATCATAGGTAAAACTTAAAAACATGTTAAATAAAAACTAGATAGACAAAAAAAGGTGGGTGATTTCATTATATAAACTGTTACTTGTGAAAAAAATGACATCAGTAAATACTAAATTAGTGTAATGATGAAAATCCAAGCACACAAGTAATAATAGTGGGGAAATAATCTCAGATACAGAGGGGAAACATTTTGTTTAAAAAACTGCGAGAGGGGCACCTGGGTAGCTCAGTCGGTTAAGCGTCCAACTTCAGCTCAGGTCATGATCTCGTGGTTTGTGGGTTCAAGACCCACGTTGGGCTGTGCTGACTGCTCAGAGCCTAGAGGCTGCTTCAGATTCTGTGTCTCTCCCTCTCTCTGCCCCTCTCCCGCTTGCACTGTCCTCTCTCAAAAATAAACATTAAAAAAAATTTTTTTTAATTGCAAGAAAGGTTTGCCAACCTCTGCAAATAAATCTGAAAACCTGAATGATTTTTA